AGCCCCCCAGCTGCTCTACCCCAGGCGTCCCACAACAAAAGCCTCTGCGACTTTGCTCCTGTCTCCCTGCTGTGCTGAGGGAGTCCCCCCCCAGCACAGCAGGGAGACCCGAGCAAAGCCGCACAGGCGGCGGGGTCCCCCGCCTCTGCGGCTTTGCTCCTGTCTCCCTGCTGTGCTGGGGGGGGACTGCCTGTAATTTGAAATAACTGACAATAGTGCATCACTGCCATCTCACTAGCACAATCTTACCTTGTCCCACATCCAAGTCATTCCCAGGAGCTGTCCAAGACAAATGAATTTTGTCTTCTTTATTCTGAGCTTCAAGGTCAATAATTTTACAGGGTGGGAACACATCAGTAATTCCTTCTGAAGGAACATTATCCACTACAAAAGAGCCTCCTGATGCAACTCTGTTGAAGCTTCCTAGCTTTGCTTGAATTACATCACCACTAACTTCAGGTCTTGGTGCATTCATTTTGATTTCACCTGCCCCCAAAAAAGAAAAAAAAAGTCAGGTCATGCTATTTGAACATCAGAAAACTCTAACTCATAGCATGCTTTCTTTCTATCTAGCATTTCCTCACTCTTTAATCTACTTTATTCTTTGGGTTATTTAAACACGGTGCAAAAATTAGTGACTCTAAGGCAGAAGACAAAATGAACTTCAGGATTCTGCATTCTTGCACAAAACAGACTCCCAAAGCAAACCAGATTTCAAGGACAGCTGAAAGTAGCAACAGTGCCTATAATTAGTTAGGGTACATAAGGTATTGTGCAGGTGTCTACGGGAAGTGGTTGTGATAAGGTCGCTTCTATCCCTGCCTTCCTAGATATTGCAGGCAGCAGAAGAATTATAATCTTGTAGGCATTTCTTTACTTTTCTGGGTTTAAGCTGATCACATTTTTATACAAATCTTTTAAATTCAGAATATTCAAAGTTTCTAGAAACGAAGAAAATTCTGTGTGTGCATGTGTGTGTGTGTGTGAGAGAGAGAGCAGATATGAACAAACATTTATCCACCATTACAGTTGCGAAACCAGGCATTCAAAAGTCATGATATTCCAAAACCTCCATATTCTTCCAGCCCTGTTTCACAATTTGCTAAGGGTTTTTTTTGGCACTGATAAAATAACATTAAAATTGGTATTTAACAAGGAAAACAGGAATAGGAAATACTACATTAAGCAATGTAGCCAAGCAAGCACTGAGATTCACATCTTAACCACTGACATTTCTTGAGATTTTCAGGTGCTTTATATCTCAAGTTAGGGAAAATAACAAGGAGTCCTATCACACCTTAGAGAGTAACATATTTATTAGGGCATAATCCTGGAAAGCTTATGTCCTAATAAATCTGGTAGTTTCTAAGGTGTCACTCGTTTTTGCAGATATAGATTAACACAGCTACATCTCTGAGTTAATTTTAGAGAGTGATTCCTACTCAGAGCTGCCACTCTGTGCGCCCAGAATCAGACTAAATGACAAAAAGTAAGTTACTGAGTAAGTTACAGAGTTGTGGGCCAAGTTGCATCTGCAGCTGCATGGCCAACTATTCAACTATTCTCTTCAAAGTATGTCTCCAGTTACACTTACACAATTCCACTGAAGGCCATAGTGTTGCCAATACTGAGCTCGGCATTTGGCCTGCAGATTATGGTGAGATTGCACAAGCCAGAAAGAACAACCCAATTGCTGGATCCTAGGCTCAGTCAGCCAGACTGGGAGTTAGAATAGCCTTGTTGCTAACCTATAACCAGAGCAAATTTCTTCTTGAGTGATTGAGACACAAGAGGTGTAGAATTCAGCAATATGATTTTTACTAAGACACTTCGAAATAAAGCTGAATTTTAATGATGAATTGTAATTTTGCCTTAGTTTCCCTGGGGATTTGATCAAAAGAAAAAGAGGGGAAAATATACTAAGTCTTAAGAGACCCATTGTAAAGTATTAACTGAGCCTCTATTGATTGAAAAGGCTTAAATAGTAAGATCTCAATAGCAGTAACAATACCAGTGATTTCTAAAAGTGTAAATAGTGAAAAAGATTTATGTAACAAATGTTAAAGTAAAAAAGGCTTTTTTATTAAGCTAAATTATCTCCCATTCACTTTTATTCCCTGCACCTGCCACACACAGTCACACAAAGAGTTTTCTACTTCATGAATGTTCCTTACCATTTTCTATGTAGCCTGGAACATACAAGGCTCGGCTCTGCTGGCGGCCAAGTCTGACAGTCTTATTTCTTCCCTGAACATGCACTTTTAAGTTGTATCTACCATTTCCATTGAAAGATGTAAAATACTTTGAATAGATTCCATCATTCTTGGTAATATCAGCACCTAGCCATACAAATATTAATAATTAACCATCCAAACAAGGTACTTTTTATTAAGCAAGGATATTTTTACTGGTCAGTTTATATACACATTGGGCCTACTACTTCTCTTATTGAAATCAATAAAAGCTTCGATATGGACAAAGTGAAAAGAGGATGGATCCTACTGTGAGCTCATTATATATTTAATTGGAGAAAACAATGTAGCATTAGGATGTGTAGCTGTGTATTTACTGTTGTTTCCAATAATTACTACTATATTAATAGTTCTAAGCTTCTTAGTAGTTTTCTGTAGTACTCTCTAGCCTGTGGAGTCCTTATTGGTGATGTGAAGACTAAAACTCTTTGAGGTGGAAGCAATATTAGAATGCAGGATTGTGTGGAGGAGAGAACCTGAGGTCTGCACTACATGGTTCAGAGAACAGAGAAGTTAGAGAGTGATCACATCATTAGACCCCTGAGCAGATACAAAATTTATACACGTATCTGCAAAAATGAGCTGTGAATACCCACATATATATCTGAGGAGACAAATACCTTCAGATATAAAATGGATATCCCCAGATTTGCAGGGCTCTACATATCACAGGCTTGAGGCACAAGTGATCTGAAAGGGATAATAAAATAATAATAAAGTTATAGGACGGGAATAAGACCTTGAGAGGTCATCTAGTCTAGTCCCTTGCATTCATGGCTGGCTAAGTATAATCTAGACCATCCTCGACAGATCTTTGTCTAACCTGCTCTTAAAAATCTCCAATGATGGAGATTCTACCACTTCCTTTCAAAGGGGCAGCTGCTGCTGCAGGGGAGCCCAGGATAAGCTGGAAGCTCCCAGCTGACCGCAGGTTCTGCTGCAGCGTTTTAAAGGGGCAGCTATGGAGCCTGAGGTCAGCTGGGGACTCCCCAGCTGCCACCGTGTTCTGGGGAAATGTTGTGCAGAGCCTGGGATCGGCTGGGTAATCCCTAGCTGACCCCAGGCTCCAAGGCTGCCCCTTTAACACGCCACTTTGGGGTTTCAAAGTGGCAGTGCTGCACAGCTGATAGAGGCAGCAAAGGGGGGAATCAACTAGTCCACTAATTGACTGACTATCTGATAAGTATTTGCTTATTGGATGGTCAATTAGTCTTTAACTTCCCTACTGGGGATCAGCTGGGCACTCCAGCTGATCCTGGGCTCCATGTTGTGCTGTTTCTTTGATGCGTCACCGTGGCGCTTCTAAGGGGCAGTGCTGCATGGAGCCCGGTGTCAGCTGGGGACTCTCGCTGATCCTGGACTCCATGCAGTGCTGCCCCATTGAAACGCCGCCACAGTGTTTCATAGGGGAGACGTACACGATTAATCATACGATTAATCATTATTAAATTTTTTAATCGTGCGATTAACTGATTACATTTTTTAATCGCTTGACAGCCCTATTCATAATTTTTGTTGCTATTCTTGGGATTTATTCCAATTTTACCACATCATTTTTTAAATGTGGCACTCAGGACTTCACACAATTATCCAGATGAGGCCAAATCAGGCAGAGCTGAGTGAAAGAATTACATCTTCGGTCTTACTTACAATATCTATATAATTCATCCTTTCAAAAGAGATGTTTTTAACATAATTATATGGCCTATATAGCACGTGACCAGCTTTAGAAACTGTCACTGTCCTGTTCTTCCCCCTGAATCTCCTCTGTAGGGCATACAAGTAAAATATAAATAAATTCAAACAGTGAGTATTACTGAATTAGGCCCACAAGACTCCTTTTCTCCTTGTGCTGGCTATTTGCATCATGGTTGGTGCCCTACCAAATTCACAGCCATGAGACCAGTCTCCCTCCTGAAATCTGGTGTATTGTGTGCTTTTACTCTGTACTATACAAAAGCGGAGAAGAGTCCTGTGGCACCTTATAGACTAACAGAAGTGTTGGAACATAAGCTTTCGTGGGCAAAGACCCACTTCGTCTGACACAGGACTCCTCGCCGCTTTTGCAGATTCAGACTAACACGGCTACCCCTCTGATACTCTGTACTATACAGGTTTCACAGGGGAAACCAGTGTTTCTCAAATTGGGGTTCCTGTCCCAAAAGTGAGTTGCAGGGGGGTTGTAAGGTTAATTTAGGAGGGTTGCAGTATTACCCATAGTATGCCACTTTTACTGCTACACTCATGCCTTCAGAGCTGGGTGGCCGGAAAACGGCAGCTGCTGACTGAGGGCCCAGCTCTGCAGGAAGCAGTGTAGAAGTAAGGGTAGTAATAGCATGCCACCTGTACTTCTCTGCTAGTGCTGGCAGTGGCTTTGACTTCAGAAGTGTGTTCCCGGCCAGCAGCCGCCACTCTCCAGCCGCCCAGCTCTAAAGGCAGCACCACTGCCAGCAACAGTACATAGGTAGAGAGTAATAGTACTACAAATGCCCCTTCAAAAACCTTGTGAACCTGCATGAGTACTTTTCTGGTCAGGACCCCTACAATTACAAAACAGTGAAAGTTCACATTTAAATAACTGAAATCACATTTAATTTCTTTTAAATCCTACAGCCATGAAATTGACCAAAATAGACAATGAATTTGCTAGGCCCCAAGGAAAAAAGCTGCACAGCTACTATACCCTCTTTCTTGGCACAGTTTTTCCTCTCTCCTCTTTCCTAATACACCTTGGTAGCTGCACCAGGATATCAGGGCACACATGCTGTACCAGTTTAGACCCAGTGTATTTCACTCCCATCCTGAAGCAGTGGGGAGACCAGAGTCACAGCATCCTCTCACTTGTTGCCCCTTAGTCTGTGCTAATGGCATATGCAGGACTGAATCCTTAGCAATAAGCTTGCAAGTAGCCTGCAGAGGCAGTTTCTAAAATACACACCACCAATCTATATTCCAACACCTACGGTACAAAATAAAATTACCTGAACCATCATCAAGGAGTTGGAGACCCACTGGGGATCCAGCCTGTGGTTCAACGGTGGCCATCACGGTTGCACCAAGAACTGGCAAAAATCCTTGACTCACTTCGGCATAAATCACCATTGGATTAGGGAAGTTGTTTGTATCCTTATTCATGTAGGCTTTCACAGTAACTGGGGGCACAGCCAAAGATGCTGCTCGAGATGTTACTATCATTGATATGACTTGAGAATCTGTGTGATTATTCTGAATCCAGTAATGCCAATCCCCCATCTGCAAAGCAAATATATGGAGCATAAACATATAATAGAAGACTTCATTATTTTAAGGGCAGTGTTGTGTTTTCTTGAGCTATATTATTTAGCTTAGGGGAAATTTTCCAGGACACTTAGGGTGGTCCAACAGGACCACCGTTAAGGTAATTTGGGTACCCTACTAATGATTCTTCATTCTTTCAAGTGTTTAGTTACTTTTAAATTTAATCTTATATCTGAATTTGCCAAGTTTTAGTGGTGGAAGTTTGAGAATTATTGTATTTTTGGAAGGATCAGAATCCATACATTATTGATACGCACTATCAACTGTTCCTTCACCTGTATTCACTGTTTTCTCTGGGAATCTTGTATTTGTGGGATGTGTATAGTTAGTGCATTATAAAAATTAGCAAAGGCACAAACGACAGACACCCAACTTCCATCGCAAGTTAATGGAGTTACACCTAGGATAAAATTGGGCCAATATGGATTTGTGTTTAAATTCTAAAAAGAGAAGGTGCACTTTAGTCTATGAAAATGTTAACATGTTTGGATAATAAAAGGAATTTTAGGCTTTACCTCTGCAGTGCCTGCTATCTTCAGTCGTGTAGTTCGAAGGTTTAGACTACTAACTTCAAAGCTGGATGTTCTATATTCTTTTCCTTTTGGGTCCCTGAGTAAAATGTTTGGTGGAGATGTGCTTTGATCCCATGTAACTACAAAGAAGGTGTCATTGCCCACAGTGCTGTCAACAGTCACTGTACCATTCATCCACTGCTTGACTGCAACACTCAGAGCTGTACTTTCAAGCTGTTAGACACATAAAATATGTTTTATGGCTACTTAGTGAATAAACACATAAAATACTAGGTATTTAAGAATGGTTCATTTTCCTCTTAAAAGGCTAAACAAATCAAAATTTTGCTTATTTAGAGGGCACCTGGACTGATTGGTGGACTACTGGCCTACTACTGGAATTGGGCACAGAGTATTAAATCTATAAGAGGCCTTTTTGCACCACTATACTCATCAGTACAGACCTCAGGGTTTTGCAAAGGAGGCAGAACTTAAATCTCCTGCCATTGCTCATCAAATGGGGAAATAGCAAGAGGACACAAGCCACTTGGACTAGCCACTAAAGGGATGAAAATGATGAAGGCCTCAACACATTTCCTGTAATGCCCATTTGCAAAGTCCAATTGCTTAAAGATGTGAAATTACAGTAACCAAGGGATTCGTTCTACTTTTATATTAGGGATGCAATAGTGCACACCCAGAGAACAAGAGGCAGAACCAAAAAAGCAAGGAAAGGCTCAGGGGAAAGCAATAAAGTATAGGATAGAGCAGACCTTGGCTGCTGACCAGAGGCTCCCAGAGTTGAAATCAATAGAGGATGGGCCCTACGATCCTCCACCAGCCACTGGGGAAGTGGCACAGATACAGCCGTAGACAAAAACTGCTTGGAACTATTTTCTCTGAAAGACTGATAACGTGGAAAAGGAGGACCCTAATGACCTGGCTGGAGGGTCAACTCATAAAGAGGAAGCTGCAGCTCCTGAACTGAGAGGGGCTTCAGGATGAGAGAGGATGATGAGTGGAGAGAGTGCCAGAGGAGGGCACAGCATCTGGAAGGAGCTAATCTCCAGCGTGGCCAGGAGGAGGTGCCTCTAGTGGTAAAAGACCCCATCACTGTGTGGAGAAAGTGAATAGAGAAGTGTTATTTACCTCCCCACATACCTCAAGAACCCTGTGTCACTAAATGAAATTAATATGTAACATGTTTAAAAAAATGAAGTACTTCTTCACACAACATACAGTCAACCTATGGAAACTGATGTGAAGGCAAAATTTATAACTGGATGCCAAGAAGAATCAAAGGATCAATGGTTAGTTGCCAAGACAGGCAGGGATGCAACTCTATGAGATGGGTGTTATTGAGCCTCTGACTGCCAGATTCTAGGCCAAGACAAAAGGGGATGGAGCAATCAAATTGCCCTGTTCTATTCACTCCCTCTGAAACATCTGGTGGTGGCCCCTGTTAGAAGACAAGGTACTGGGCTAGATGGACCATTAGTCCAACCCAAAATGGCCAACATTATGTTCTTAAGAAGACTAGTGTGCAGTTGCAGAGAAGCTACGTAGGCCATGGACAATGGTGTTAGTCGCTGTGCATGATTCAGATAAAGTATAAAACTGGCTCCACAGCAGAGTTTTATCTAAGTGAAAGGATGAGTTAAGTTATAGACAGCACAACTCAAGAGCCGTAATATAACTAGGAAGCAGGGAAAACTCAGTCCTCCTAGCCTCAATTATTTTGGAGAAATCATCACTGTGTTGAGAGAGACCATTAGAAGTGTGAGGAAATCTGGGAATCAAAATGATGTCTATTGTTTAGAAGACAAGCAATTGAGGTCCTTTCCTCATTACTGATGTTAGTATAGTAAGAAGCCCTAGAAGACAAAATGCCTTGTTTACAGTATCCCATACAGATGTGGCTGATTGGTCTATGATATTTCTGCCTGCCCCTGTCTGTAAGTCCCTTTGAATTAGCTTATTATGAGACATTTAATTTTTTTTTTGTTTCACTGCCTGTTTCATTTCATTGCTTATATAACAGATGACAAAAAATCCCACAGCCATTTGAAAATATCAGTTATATTTCTTAATTTTAAGATCAGCCACTGGCTGATACAATTACTCTTAAATGATCAGTAACTGATTAATAATGTGAAAAAAACAAACAGTTGGAACTCAGACCTGAATAGACTGTTCAGAAATATTTCCACTTCCTGATGAAATTCCACTGAATGCATCAATTAGACCATTGGAGTCAAGTGTATCTGTGGCATAAAACTTTAAGCCCCCTGAAATATGATTGTTAAAATAATCAGTATAGTCATTCACTATACAACACAGATATTCACTTTTTCTTCTGTGCCTTATGCTAGTCTGGATGTTGCTAGAAAGCATAATGTTAACTTGATAAATTAAATCTTGTGCCTTTACTAATCTCTGTTCATAAATAAAGTGTCAAATATTAAATTATGTATGGGTCTAAACAAAGACTCTCATTATCTCACCCATTACGAAGATGGCTTCCCTAGCTTCCCCAATTACCACCCCTAATGTCATTACCTCACAGAAACTTCCCCTATTATCACCCCTACATCATTACCTCACAGACACTAACCTTCTCCCCTCACCCTCACTCTGTTCTAAAATTTGATTTGTCTATTTCACATGCGTTCATTTTTTTGGTTGTATCCCTTTGGTATATATGGTTGTGCCAATTTTCTTCCACAAATTGATCTGAGGAAGTGGTTCTGGCCCACGAAAGCTCATCACCTAATAAACCATCTTGTTAGTCTTTAAACTGCTACATAGTTGTGTCTTTTGTTTCAGCTAGACCAGACTAACACGGCTGCATCTCTATCACTACCCTTAAAGCAGAGTTTCTCAAAGTGGTCTGTGAAACCACTCTGAGAAACCTGTCAACTGACCGCACTGGTTTGTTAACTTACTGGCACCGCAGGCACGGAGCCTTGCAGCTCCTGTTGGCTCTGTTTCACTATTTGCAGCCAAGGGGAGCTAATGGCCCAGCCCACAACAATTTCCATGGCTCCCGTTGATTGCAAAGAACAAAATGGAGCCAATAGGAGCCGTGAGACTCCCAGACCATGGTGCTAGTAAGTAAACAAACTGGTGCGGTCAGTTAACAGATTTCTCAAAGTGGTTTGGTGGACCACTTTGAGAAACACTGCCTTAAAGTGAAGTGCCTCTCTGAAAAACACCTCTATAAAAGTGACGTTGTGGCATTCCATGATTATTGCACTTCAGTGACTTAGATCAATTCTGCCTAGTTTGCAAATATAACATTTGGGCTTCTTTCATATAAACTGAGTACCCATAAGTCCAATGGGAACTTCTGACGCACAGTGTCTTTGGAAATCTGTCCATTTGTTTCAAACAATGAGCCCTACCTGCTGAGACTAAGCCACGAAAGACCAACTATGTTCTTTCTGGATCACACATCAAATCACTAAAGCTGAAGATTCTGTGATCAGAAAATGAATGAACAATTCTGTTATTGTACACAAACCAGAAAGAATGCAGCTTGTTCTCCAAAGGGCATCCTGGATTTACAGGGCTAACAAGAGTAAAAAGCTGTACAATCTTATTTAAGTCCTTGAAGCAAGCAGATGTTACTCTGAATACACAAAAGGAGAATCTCTCTTGATGAAGAGGGTGCAATTTATACAATCACCATTCTGAATCAACACATGGAATTCCCATTGGTAGTTGCCCTATACTGCAGCATCAACCAGGACCCATCTGGTTTTCCTTAATGTCTGAAGTTAAAATGTAACAAGAGAGCTTCAACTCAAAGCAGGTCACAAGTGTAATGACAATGGTTGCAGACACTTCAGCTAGAGCCCTCTATCTGTGACTCTTCTTGAGGTGGTAATTATTTAATTATCTAGGACATTAATAGGTTTATATACAATTGCCATGTAAAAATCAGAAATAAAATGTTAGTCATTTCAATAATGAGCTTCAGGTTTTGTTTCGAGAAATATTCTACAATAATATAATTATCAAACCTCACTATTTAGCAGAGTGTTATCAGGTTACAATTTTTTTTTAAAGCAAGGACAGGTAAAGATAAACAATTGCTCCCAACATTTATTTTTACCTGAACAAACTTTCTATAAATATAACTGGAATTAGGTGACTAAGTTTATTCTCTTTTCATAATACAGGCTGTAAGCTACTCTACTTTTACATTCCATACTTCAAACATGAATATCAAAAGCAGGGCTAGTTTGCAAAGTTACTCACCTGTCATGTTTGAAAATTGTTCTAATTCTGAAGCAGCGTTTGGCCCCAAGGCAATGGTGTGAATGATTGATCCACTGTTTTCCACTTCCTTAAGGCAAAAGCTCATACCTGAATCCTCTCCATCTGTCAGCAGTACAATTTCAGAACCATAGAGATTAGCGTGTTTTTGTTTAATCACCTAAATTGATAAAAGAATGTAAAGTATTAGCAACAGGAGTTTATTGTAAATATTAGCTGTCCTATCACAGGTAGCATAACAGTTTTCCTTGACGTGTACAAGTGCAAGTGTAAGACAAAATCCTTTCCTTATAAGTGTGAATAGTGCTGGCAGTGGAGGCTGTATTATGTGGCAATGGCTGAATCGAAGTGTCTGAATTATTCTGCCAGTACAGAGAAGGATGGCTCAGGGGAGAGGTGTCTAAGGGTAACATTCTTTACATCTCTTCCGAGAAGTTGAACGTATGCACCCCACTCCAGGTCCTGCTGCCAATGACAGAATATGCACAGGACATCTTCCAGAAGTGCAAACATAGCCCTTAAGACTTTTGTTCTGGTTAGCAACTTGAGGAATCACTGCATATGCCAGTTCCATTTTTACATACTCACATTTCAGAAGAAAATCATGCTGAAAACAAAGTTTGAAATTTCTTAGAAGAGTTTATATGATTTTGATCTTATCCAAGAGGCCTTGGGATTCCTGCAAAGCATTTTTATAAGATTGTATTGAGACTATTTTAAGGGGTTTTTCTAGTATAAACATAGCAGAGCCTTGTTAATTTCTTAGCCCTGCACCTGCTTCTATTGAATTGAATAGATCGAGCTTCCTAAATATCACTCTGAAGCACATTTTCTTAACCTTGATTTGTTCTTGTAGCTGTTTCTGAACCCCCTCCAGCTTCCGCAACATCCTCTCTGAAGTGTTGGCACCAGAACCACACCCCAGCTTTCAGTAACTATCTCCTCCTAATACATCCAAAGATTACATTAGCTCATTTAGCTATATCACTGCACTCAAAACTCATGTTTAGTTGGATCTCCACCATGATCCCTAATTTCATTTCAGTGTCTAAGGGTAAGCAGTGAGGTGGTAAAGTTTGCGGATGATACCAAACTGTTTAGGATAGTCAAGACAGAAGCAGACTGTGAGGGACTCCAAAAAGATCTCACCAAACTGAGTGATTGGGCAACAAAATGGCAAATGAAATTTAATGTGGATAAGTGTAAAGTAATGCACATCGGGAAAAATAACCCCAACTATACGTACAGTATGATGGGGGCTAATTTGGCTACAACAAATCAGGAAAGAGATCTTGGAGTTATCGTGGACAATTCTCTGAAAACTTCCACACAGTGTGCAGCGGCAGTCAAAAAGGCAAATAGGATGCTAGGAATTATTAGGAAAGGGATCAGTATGATGGGGGCTAATTTGGCTATGATAAATCAGGAAAGAGATGAAGAAGTTACTCACCCTGTGTAGTAACGATGGTTCTTCGAGATGTGTCCCCGTGGGTGCTCCACTCCAGGTGTCGGGTCCCGTCCCGGCGCCGGGTCCCGTCCCGGCGCCGCTGGTCGGAAAACTTCTATAGCCGTAGCCGAGCCGGACCGCGCACGCGCAGACGCAGCGCGCGGCGGTCGCGGCTTTG